GACAATTAAAGTAGATAAAGAAGACACAAATTTAACGTGGTTCCGTCAAAGTGATCTACGTCCACAAGCGGAGAGGAGCAATTTACTATAACAATAAGAGTACAAAAAAGAGTACAAAATTAGAGTAAATACTCTAATTAATCCCAAATACCCCAAAAGAATAACCTCACAAGATCATTTCAAAGAAAGAGTTCACACAAGTGCTTCCCAACACTAACTCTCATACAAAACACTCTTAATAAAGAAAGAAAGGAAGAAACAAAAAATGAAGACAACTCTTGTTGGTGTGTCTAAAATGAACTAATGGCCTTCCCTTTTATGGGCAAAAAAGTCTTGACCTCTTAAGTGTAAAAGAAGAGATACAACTTGTGCAAATGATGTCCAACATACAATGCAATATTTTTGGATCCCAAAGAATATTGCCAACAAAGTCTACACTTTGCAAAGATGCTTATGCTTATGTGAGATGGACTCCATTTGACAAAATAATGGTCATATTACACTAGCCACCCACCAAAAGAACAAACATAAGAGAATCTTTGTCCTAGCTACAAAAAAAACGCGCGCGGAACGATAACAAGAAGTAGAAAAGAGTGGAAAGCTTGAACCAGTGCTCTATATATATAAGGAAGTATGAGGTTAATTAATTAGCACGAAAACTTGAGATATTTTCATTGTATAATTTTTATTTGGCGAAGGTTTTTGCCTAATATTTTTAAAAAAAAAATAAAGTTACACCATAGGTGGCGTATTCCTTTCATTCATCCAAAAAATCAGTTTCAACAGAGAGATGGATCAGCTATCCTAGTTTATCTCCTTATGTGAACCTTCTCTATAAAAAGGTTACAAAAACTTACAAACCCTGCTAAGGATTAACAACAGGTAACTTAACAAAAAAAAGAACTCCTATCATAAAAAATAGTTTTTCCTATGCTTATGTCTTAGAGAGGCCATTTGCATCAAATCCAGGTCCCTTAGCTCCTTGAGGTAGAGTATTGACCGATGTAAATACATGATATGGATTTTCAATACTCCATTTTGCTAGAACGTCGGCTACTTGATTGGCCTCTCTAAATCCATGTTGAATTCTAACATTAGCCATGTTGATGTAGTTCTTAGTTTTCAACACAAATTCCAACATATGCCATGGAGGTTTGCTATATCCATTCAATATGTTGATAATCAGAAGTGAGTCACATTCAAGAACTATATTAGAAAAACCATTTGTAATACACCACTGAACTTCAAACAATGCAGCCTTTGCTTCAGCAAAGTTGCTATTGCAGTTCACGAACGAGGAGGCAAAAGCCATAATCATGTTGCCGTTATGATCCCTGCAAATGCCCCCACCTCCAGCTGATCCTTGTATATTTCTACTCCCATCGGTGTTCATTTTAATCCAAGAGTCAGGTGGTTTTTCCCACTTTACCAGCTTGCACTCAATAACAGGGGAAAGTTGCATAATTTGAGAACAAATACCTTCCCAATCGGCAGCCCAATTCCTGTTAACCTTAGTCTTGGATACAATCCATTTGAGGTGGATGATAATTTGGTAATGAATTCTCCTAATTGAGGTGTTAGAGTCCCCGTATCGAACAACGCTCCAAGCCTTCCAAATTTTCCAACAAATAATCATAGGTGTGACTTGAAGTAGAGTTTGATGAACACTATTCTTTGGCTTGGTACTCCACCACCTTGTAAGCATAGTCGTGATAGAAATTTCTTCCCATATCACGCCCAACGGACTGCCAAAAATCTTCCAGATATGTGAGGCTATTTCTCCTACCATGAATGTATGATGTAGGGACTCTATCTATGGATTCCTGCAGCAGAAACACATGGATACAATATTCTGGCTAAAAATGGGAAGAACATCATCAAAAGGCAATTTGTTTTTAAGGATTCTCCACATAATGAACGACATCTTAAATGGGAGAAACTTGTGCCAAATCTTCATCAACAAAGGTGATCTATCTTTCCTCTGTCTACCAATGTTCCAGGCTCTGAAGAAGTAGAAAATGTTCCATTTACATTAGGCGTCCAAATAGGCACATCTGGACAATTCTGATCACCAATAGGTATAGTGAGAATGTGCTCCGTGGGAAACTCTGGAAAGTGCGTATGTTCAATGTTCCAATTACCATTATTAATCAAGTTTTTGACCATTTGATTGCCATGAATTTCGCCCACCAGTATGATCCTAGAGATTGCACCCATATCTGTCCAATTATCCCACCAAAGATTACTATCTCCAGCATTTATTTTCCACAACATCCTATCTTCCACTATTTCCCGAAATCTCAACATATTCCTCCACAGTTGCGACTGGGTTGAAATAGATAGCTTGGCCACTGGTGAGAAGTATTTGGAGCTGAGGAAATAAGACCACAAAGACTTACTAGTTCTAAAACACCACCATCTTTTCATATTGAAACTTTCACTGATATCTTGCAACCTTTTGAAGCACAATCCTCCCTCATCAGTATAACACAAATTAGACCAAGAACTCCAATGGTATTTCTGCTTTCCATCTTTTGAGCTCCAAAAGAATCTTGCCATGTGTTTTTCAATCTCTTTGAAGACTGTTTTGGAGGTTCAACAGCAGCTAGAAGATGAATAGGTTGTGATTGAAGGACATGTTTAATTAAAATGGTCCTGCCTCCCACTGATAATAGTTTACCATGCCATCCAGTTACTTTCTTCACTATCTTAGCTACCATCTCGCTATAATATGCAATCCTTTATCTTCCCACATACAAAGACATCCAGGTAAGTAATAGGGAAATTAGCATGCATATAACCTGTCACTTCCTTCACTCTAAGAATCTGATTGTTTGTAGATTTTGGGTTAATCAGAAAATAACTTTTATCTATGTTAGTCAGCTGCCCAGAACATTTATCATAGTTTTGCAATTGACCTATAACCAGCTCCACAATCTCTTATTACCAGAAGTGAAAATCATGACATCATCTGCATATGCAAGATGTGTCACTTGTGGTCCTTGACACCGCATACTGAAGCCCCTAAAATGATTTATGAAGGGTAGTTTATTAAGCATTCTTGATAGAACTTCAGCCCCTATAACAAAAAGAGCGGGGGATAATGGGTCACCCTGCTTTAGTCCTCTGTTAGAATGAAAAAATCCTTGCCTTACACCATTGATCATGACTGAGTACCAAACATTGGAGATGGATCTCCACACCAAATCAATCCAGCATTTAGAAAAACCAAATCTTCTCAAAACAGCTACCAAAAAGTGCCAGTTGACTCTATTATACGCTTTAGTCATGTCTAGCTTGAGAGCAACATTACTACCAATATTCTGCTTCTCCATACCATGAATGATTTCCTGTGCTAGTAAGACATTTTATGTAATGGATCTCCCCTTGATAAAATCCGATTGATTATCAGAAATAACTTTGGAAAGTAATGGAGTCAATCTAGCAGTCATGATTTTGCTAATTATTTTATTGGAGCAGTTACTGAGGCTGATTGGTCTCATTTCATTGAAAGATGTTGGGTTTTCTACCTTAGGCAAAAGGACAAGGCAAGAATTGGTATAAAACTTGGATAATTCAGCCCCATTAAAGAAGGATTGCACCACACAAATGAGTTCCTTTTTTATAATGTCCCAGCAATTCTGAAAGAAGGAACCACCAAATCCATCAGGCCCTGGTGCACTGTTAGGACTTGTGTCAAAAACCGCTTTTCTAATTTCTTCTTCCTCAGGAATTACACATAGTAGTTCATTATCTTGATGGGTAATAATCCGACTCAAGCAGTCCAGGTGATGATATTCTGGTTCAAATTCACCTTGGAGAAGCGTAGAAAAATATTTAATAGCTTCTCTAGAAATATTTTCATCCTCATTAATCCAGTTACCATCTGAGTTTTGGATTCTTTGAAGCGTACGTCTTCTCCTCTTCTCATTAATAATAGCATGAAAGTATTTTGTGTTGGCATCCCCTTCCTCCAACCATCTGATGTTAGCCTTCTGCTTGAGTATGGATTCTTCATATTTCAGCCACTTAGTATGTTCAGCTTGGGCTTGATGAACCTATGCTCTGTAATCCTCCGTGTCATTGTCAATATATTCTGCCTCTAGAGTTTGCATTTTCATCTCCCATTCTTTCACCAATTAAAAAACATTGCCAATCTGCTCCTTAGACCATTGGCTCAGTTTTGACATGGGTAGCTTTATCCACTGTTAACAAGGTGCCGATTGGGGAAGTGATTCTTTGTAATGCACTCCAATTGAAATAATGCCATGGTAGCTCAGGTAAGTGAATCCAAATAGGAGCCAGAGATGTTTCCACATTAGGATTGAAATCCTTCGTCCATCGTACCACACGCATAGGTGAGCCTAAAATCATCAGATTGTCCCTAAAGTAGATGTTCTTGAAATCATCCTCATTTGTAAAAGAGATGAAGATGTGTTTCCCATTGTAATGCCCAATTTTAATTGTTTCCCTCATCGGAAACCTAGCAGCAAAGTCCCTCCGAATATCTTCAATCAGAGCTCTGCCATGTGAAAATTTCCCGATAATAGTAAGCCTACACACACTCGCAAGCTCCTCCTCTTCCTGTGGTGTGAAATAGACTGTTGGTTTTCCTTTGTAAAGTTCTGGCGGTCGAAATTGTAAGACAGACTTCGACGGTAACGGTCTACTCGGAAAAGCCAGAGTAGAGGCATAAGAGGTCTTTGAAGGGATCTAATTATTACCGATCTGGTGGGTCATTGCGGTGTTCACCGCCGAGTCCGATGGTTTCTATGTCGGGGAAAAAGGGAGTGTGGGGCGCGTCTGCAATATTTCATTATATCCTTAAAATTACTGACAATTCCTTTTCATTATATCCTTAAAAGGGAGTGAGAATAAAAACATACATGTAACTAAAGAGAACTTTATTTATCTACTTAGAGAAAAGAACTTAATTAACAGCAAGAGGAAAGAACTTTACCAAACCATTTTATACAATAATATGATCTCTTTATCCAACATTCTTTTCCATTACCTGAAAATATAACTTGCCTAAATTCATAATACATACATAAAGTCATAAAACAATCTATCTAGTCTAAAAAAAGGACTCCATATTTTGGAAATATACTGCTGATGGATCCCTTGGTATTAATTCAGCTTATAGAATTGTCTTACCTCATTACAACAATAAATCATAATAACCAAATTAAAACTATAAATGGTTAAAAAAAACTGTAAACAAGCACAAATTCTTTCCCGCTAGCTTGTCATGACAAACTTCTAACAACCAAAGTGCTCGATCCATGGTAGAGGCATTAATTAATTACTCCAAATGTAGCATCCATATTGAAACCATTAACCATATTTTATACACTGTCAAACTGCATCTAACTTCTGGGATCAATTTGGACACCATCCTCGACCCTACAAAAATAATCCTTACCAATGATGAATAATGAATCCATTAACAATGATAACAATAATGCGAAAAATTAATGGACCTGGAATTTAGTCACTGTTTCTTTTCATTTAAACATTGAAATTTTGATCTGGACCTTAGGACTAACTCAACCCGCAGATGTGGGAACTCAACACCTCCCGCACGCCCAAAACTAGATATTTGGAGCGTGGACAATTAAAGATGGGACCAAACATCGTATAAATCATGAATTGGGATGTGCCTGACTCTGATATTATGATAAGAAAATGAATCTTAGACGTAACTCAACCCTAAAAACCTAGCTCATGAGGTGAGAATTGTCCAAGACCATATAGAGAGGCCAAATAACCCATCACCGCGATATGGGAAGTCAATGGTGGCTAAAACAAAACAGTGGCTAAACATTAAAAAACAATGCTTTCGGTAATAATTAATAACAGCTTATCACCCCAAATTGCAATAAGAAGCTAAGAGCTATAGAGTTCATTGTCATGACTAATGATAAGTAAAGAGACAACAAATTAAGTTTATTCCTTGGCTAACCCCAAGAAATTGAATGCTGCTATAATGATAGTTCCACATTTTTTCAACAAAACGCCCCACTAATAGCAGCATTTGATAAAATAACAAAATCAACAAAAAGAAGACAGAAATATTGTCAAAAACCTGAAACCAAAGATCAGGAGGAGGACATGCAGCAGCCACCTCTGCCACCAGAATCTGAATCCTGGCCAGGAACTATGATCCTTGTTCCCTTGAGAGATTGTGACTTTGCGTACTCTGCACCTTCTTCTGCAGTGAGAGTTTTCTTGCCAACGATTTGATAGATTTCTTTTAATATTGTCATAAATGCAGTCTCGACGTTGGTGGATTCAAGGGCTGATGTTTCCATGAAGAAAAGATTCTCCCTTTCTGCGAATTCTTGAGCATCTTCAATTGGTACTGCTCGAAGACTTCCTAGATCACATTTGTTTGCGATGAGCATTATAACTATGTTCTTATCGGCATGACCCCTTAGTTCCTCCAGCCATCTAGCCATATGATCAAATGATTGACGTTTTGTCAAGTCGTAGACTAACATTGCGCCAACTGCACCTCGATAATATGCACTAGTCACTGCTCTATACCTGACAGAATTTTACTGTTAGAACTATGACAACACTATTTCATGTTATGGGAAGATATAATCTGGTAATTCACAGCCTAAACTATACTTAGCACTAAACCGATACCTTATATCATTTGATCGCTCTTTCCTTTTTAGGACGTCCCAGAATGTTGTCACCTCTCCGAAAAGGGTAACCATTATTCCAAAACTACCCATTCTAGAAGCTTATTAGAGCTTCTTTTAATGATTACTTGTAAAAGGGCAATGTTAAAGAGCACAGAAAGCCTTCTGGCTTACATGTCATTTTTTATTTTGTTTGCTCATTTCTCCTTCACCAGTAGTCCAATACTAGCATTACAGTCGAGCATTTTCACATTCTGTGTGAGTTATCTTATTTGTTATTTAGATTGTCAGTGTCACCTTCAAGCTTAACATATTTGCACCTTTTGGCTTCCACCAGTACTAGAATTTATGTATTGCCTTAGCACATTACTTAATAAGATATACCAGTTATTTGTAATAACTTTCTTACACTTTAAATATGGAAGCTATTTGAACTTTTAAAATTAAAATTATTTTATTAGATATGAATTTCTTAATTTATGTTAGTTGCTTTCATCAAAATAGGAATAGCATCATTATCTTTTTGTAGGATTTCCATTCATATAGGGGTGTACGTCAGTACGTGTTAGATATTATAATACTTGGGATGTATCTGCAGTTCATAATTTCTGTTTTTTTTTCTTTTTCTGGTGACTTTCATATGTAGTCTTAAAGTGGCTTTGCTTGTATAGGAGCGGATATATTGTGCTAATAACTGTTGCGTTTTTGTTGGCTTTTGTTTAGAGATAGGGGCAATGCCCAACTCTAGATGAAAAGTCAACTTACAGAGTCTGCCATTGAAAAAAAAAAAAGAACAAAGAAAGTGTCCCCATTTCTTTGTTCTGTTTACTGTTTAGAGATAGTCAATCTTGAATACCTTTGTGGTTACACCGTCTTTATTTTTATTTTCTATTTGTGTTTTATTTAAGTTATTTCTTTTTCACTAGAGAATGCATTCCATTTAGTACTGACCAAGTCTTTATTTGAACTTTTTTTTTTTTGGTTTCCCACCCGGTGTCCGATACTCACATTGGGGCCCGACTAAATCCGGATTCGCGCCGGAAAGTCCCACATTGGGGGTAAAGCGCTCCCTAACAAAAGCGACTCCATACCCAGGGACTCAACCCAAGACCTCTGGTTAAGAATGAAGGAGTACTTACCACTCCACCACAACCCTTGTTGGTTTTAATTGGACCTTGCTTTCAGCTTTGTGGCTAACCATGAAGCCATAACATGAATGTCAAGAAGGATATCATATTGCTGCTATATAAGTACCAGAGCTGCCTACTCAAATATGCAAGATACGTCTTAGCTCTATCTTTCTCTTCTCCTAGTATAGTTGGTTGCAAAATCAAATTGAGAAGCTTAGGGAATTTGGGACAATAACCCCTACTAGCAGCTGCTTTGGCAATTTGCGTAGCAGTCAGCACTGTTATTGCTGGTTATTCTTATGGTTATACTTCTCCCTCACCTTCTTAAAACTCTAAGAAGTACTATAAATTACCATCTCCGTCTAACTTTAATGTAGCCGCTCCTTACTACAAAAATCCAGGAAAAATCTGCTGAACATTCTTCATCGCACTATTACTACAAATCACGTGTTCCTTCGAAGCACGACTATTATAAGTCGCGTATTCCTTCAAAGAATTGCTGCAAGTCACCTGCTCCTTCAAAAAATTACTACAAGAAACATGCTCCTTCAAAGAGCTAGTACAAGTCACCTGCTCCTCAAAAGAACTACTACAAATCACTAACTCATTTTAAGCACTACTATAAATCACTATCCCCTGCAAAGTACTACAAGCAGAGGCGGATCCAAGATTTAAATTCTATGGGTTCAACTTTTAAGATTTTTAACATTGAACCCATTATATTTTTAAAATTATGGGTTCAAATCTATTATATTTGTAATTTTAATGAATTTTTACACATAAATTTCTATTCAGCATCGAAAGTTATGGGTTCAATTGAACTCATAACTAACACACTGCATCCGCCTCTGACTACAAGTCGCCAGTTCCTTCAAGGTACAACTACAAGTCGGCATCTCCTTCAAAGCAATACTATAAGTCGCTAGCTCCTTCAAAATACTACTACAAGTCGTCTGCTCCTTCAGGGCATTACTACAAGTCACATGTTCCTTCAAAGTAGTACTCCAACTCGTCGACCCCTTCAAAGAACTACTACAAGTAGCCAGCTCCTTCAAAGAACTACTACAAGTAGCCAGCTCCTTCAAAGAACTACTACAAGTCGTTGACTCCTTCAAAGCACTACTACAAGTCGCCATCGCTTGCAAAGTAAATATTATAGGTCACCTCCACCAGTAAAATATTATATGTCACCAGTTTACTACAAATCTCCATCACCACCAACTTATTATGAGAAATCGCCTTCATACTGTAAGTCACCTCCACCCCCTCCAAAGTACTATGAGCAATCACCTTCTTACTACAAGTCACCTCTACCCCCTTTAAAGTACTATGAGCAATCACCATCTCTTTACAAATCTCCACCACCTCCACCAAAATACTATGAGCAACCATCTTCATACAATTCTCCACCACTAACACCACCAAAATATTTCGAGCAATCACCAACTTATTATAAGGCTCACCTCCACCATATTATAAAAAATTTACGCCTTCCTATAATCTCCTCTACCTCCACCAAAATACTATGAGTAATCACCTACAACCTACAACGCGCCACCTCCACCAAAGACGTATGAACAATCACCATTATACTACTCACCGCCACCAACAACAAACTACTACAAGCAAACTCTGACCTATGCCTCACCTCCTCCACCTGAGAATTATGAGCAAACAACTACCTATGCTTCACCTCCACCCCCATCAACACCTCCTCAACCAAACCATTACTAATTTCTATCTCCACCATTTTCATTACTTTTAACTCCTCTTAGTCCTCCAATTTTGAGCATTCCATTTCCTCTTCCAAAGGTTAATGTATTGTTCTCGAAATGATTGGTTGTGATTATTGTGTGTTCAATGTTCTCTTCTTTTAATAATTTTTATTATGTATTATTTTAGATTTGAGTAAGATCCTCGAGATCGATCTCCATCAGTTTGGCTAATTGTGTCACTTTTTGGTGTATCTCTTCAAGATTCTACTTTTCTTAATTATACTCTCTTCTTCTTTCTCCGATATTGTTTGTTTTAATAGGCCTAATTCTCATTTATATAAGTATATCTGGAGGACATATATTCCAAACTCTTAGTTGAAGAGTGACCACCTAGAGTTTTCTTAAGGCAAGAGATATATATTCAACAACCAAGCAAAAACAGAGTTACATCAGGGGAACACCCCTGGTCTCTAAAGAAGAAGCATCAGAATAAAGAACAGATGCTAGACATGAAGGATAGGAATTCCAAGTTACACGAGTTGCATACAATAAAGTTATCCGAGCAAGAGAGTGAGCCACTTTTATTAGCATTCCACCTAGTTGTCTATATACACCGGAAGCCTAATTAGTCGTTCGAAGTAAAACTCTAGTAGCTATTGCCCTGAAAAAGTTTAATACACTAGGTGCCTACAGAGTATCACTTCTTAATAGTCAGATTATTTATTTTCGCATTACCCATGCTCATAAACCATGCCGAGTTCTTTAATTGTTACTAAATTGTTGAGACTTTTCAATTAACCATTGAACAAGAGTTCACTAATGAAAATATTAGTTTTCTCACCCTCCCCACCACCCTGACTTCAACATTTATCCTTATGTAATTTGACAATTTTTACTTAAATCCCGGAGCTTGTAAGGTCTGTCAGAAAACAATATGAATGAACCTAAACTTATAATTGAAAAAGAACGAATCTATAGTTATGCTATACAAATTAATTAGGATTTCTTTTTTGTAAAGAAAGTGTAAAAGTAACATTGGTAAATAAGGAGGAAGGAAATGCAGACCTTTCTTGGCCAGCAGTATCCCAAATCTGTGCCTTGACGGTCTTGTGATCAATAATTAGAGTCTTTGTCTGAAATTCAACCCCAATTGTAGCTTTTGAATCCAAGCTGAATTCATTCCTAGCAAATCTAGCCAATAGCTGTGATTTCCCTACTGCAGAATCTCCAATCAATACAATCTTGAATACATAATCAATCTTTTGGTTGTAATCTCCATATAAATTTGACATTGTTTACCAAAATCCCCTCCTTAAACAAAATGCTTCTTTTTTTTTTAGCCTCAACCAATACCTTTCAAATCTTCAGATTTTAGCATATGATTGATCCAAATTTAATAGAACAAAATCCCAGTCGGTATATATATGGCAAATTTATCTTGAAATTGCAAAGAGACATGAAGGGGTTCAATTTGGATTAGGGTTAAGCTTAGGGTTTGAGAAAAATGATCAGAAAATTTTGCTTTTGGTGGGAATGTTTAGCTTCCTCCATGCATTCCTATGTTAGAGAAGAGAGAACTTGGAAAGACCAACGGTTAGTGCGGGACCCATTAACCATCTTTTTGAGTGCGAAGCAAAAAAGTAACAAAAAAGGATTCTTTTTTTTTTCTTTTTCTTTTGACACATTTTTATTTTAGAAATTATTTAAAAAGAATTCAACAGGAATTATTTAATCTTTAATATTTTTGTTGAACTTTTTAAAGGTATATATGTGGAAATTCACTTGAAATAAGAAAAAATTAAAACGAACACGTCGAACTCTCACCATTATTTATTTAAAAGGATAATGTTATACTTTTTATATTATACTTAGTTTACATGTCTTAATTTTTAAATTTCTTGTTCAGTCAAACAATTTCAAGTAAAATGATAGAGACAATAACTTTAGAGGATAAACATCTTATGACTTTTACCCTAATTTTGCTTATAAATACTTTTAGCTTTTCAAATGCCTAGATATGTACAAAAGTATATATAAATTAATTGGGTAAACTCTTTTTACTTGGATAATTTCTTTTTTTATTAGAGACACCCAAGTAACCTCTTTGAGAAGATAAGACATAATTTGTTTTTCAAGTGCATAGATAGTCATTCTCAGGGATGCTATTTAGAGATTAGTGAGTATTTATTTTATTCTGAAATTTTAAAATAAAAATCTTAATTTCAGGACAACTCGAGACATTTTTATCCTGAAAATTTGAACTGAAAACGTGAAATTCAGGACATACTGGCTAATTCCTAAATAGTGGTCCTTTAGAGTGACTACCTGGTGTCATTTCTACCATATAGTATATGTTAATTGAGCGGGCTCTTTACGAAGGGGCTTTTGCATCTATACCCGATTTTGATATCACAATTGAACCTATACCCACTTTGTAAAAATATTTGCAAGCCTACCCACTTTACGATCAACGTTAGACTTATCGGGTTTGAAGTTTAAAAAAATTAGTCTTAAGTGAAAAAAATTGCACTTCAGATGCACTTAAGGCGAAATAGGTCTGAAGTGCAACCAATGGTTTCATGCACTTAAGGCCAATAAGTCTGAAGTGAAAAATTACATTTCAGATGCACTTAAGGCGAAATAGGTCTGAAGTGCAACCAATGGTTTCATGCACTTAAGGCCAATAAGTCTGAAGTGAAAAATTACATTTCAGATGCACTTAAAACCAAAAGGTTTGAAGTGCAACAAACGTTTTCCTACACTTAAAGCCAATAAGTATGAAGTGACACTAGATCTGAAGTGCAAACAATGGTTTCATGCACTTAAGACCAATAAGTCTGAAGTAAAAAATTGCACTTCATTTGCACTTATGGCCAAAAGGTCTGAAGTGCAACAAATATTTTCCTACACTTAAGGCCAATATGTCTCAAGTGAAAAATTGCACTTTAGATGCACTTAAGACCAAAAGGCCTGAAGTGCAAATTGCCAGAAATAGAAATTTGTTCTTCAAATTTTAACAATCCAATATATATACTATTTAATATCTAAATCTACTCCAAATGGTCAAATTTGAAACATAACCTCCAAATATCATCAAGAACAAACCTCAATCATCAATTTGTCAAAACAATAATAAATCTAACGAACCCATTTTGCAATTAAGAAAAAAAAAATCCTAAGCAATAGTAAAAAATAAAGCGCCACAACAGCTCATCATTGTAAAACATCATAAACTATCTTAAATATGTTTCATATAAAATCATTGTTACCCAAAAAAGAAGAAAAGAAGAAGAAGAAAGAGGAGGAAAAAAACTAAAGTTGTTTAAACATTGGTACAAATTAAAAATAAAAATAAAAATAAAAAGTGGGTTCAGGCTAAATGGGAGCGATCAAATAGGACGTCCCGTGCAATTTTTACATTCACTAAGTGTAGAACATGTTTCGGCTTCTCACTTTTTCTTGACATCTCTAGTTGTTCTATATACTCTGAACTTCTCTTTGTCGGTTGATGTGGTGTGTAAGAAAATTAGGAGGCGACCAAATAGGATGCCCCGTATAATTTTTACCTCCACTAAATGTAGAAGATGTTATTTGGGCTTCTCACTTTTCTTGACATCTCTAGTTGTTCTATATATTCTGAACTTTCCTTAGTCGATTGATGTGGTGTATAAGAAAATTAATTATAGTACAAAATTTCGTATTGGGTTATACAATACTTGATCAAGGATAGTTAATCCATGTATTATTTTATTCATTAATTAATTTATGTATAACTTTATAGATAATACGACATGGAATAACAATACAGATATTAGCTATACCAAAATTAAATTTCGTAAAGACAAAAATACCCCTGCTATTTTCATTTTAGACTAAATCAAATGCTCAATATTTCTCTTTTCTCTATTTTTTTAAACCTTAAAACCAAATGTCATAACTAAATTATATCGGAATAGTGATGGCGCCTAACCCAACCAGTGTAAACACAACTCAAACTGAAGATCATCAAATAATAATAATAAAATAAGAATACAAAATTTAATGCAAACTATCTCAAAAACTGATAATGCAAGTCATAAGCTACTAAGAAATAAAATGCAATATTGGAGCGTTAACGTATCCTCAATGCTTGCTCCTGAACTCCGCAACATATGGGCTCTAAATTCTTCGCGCAAGGTGTATAAGCGTAATATGAGTACAACCGATCCCAGGTACCTAGTAAGTATCAAGACTAACCTCAACAAAGTAGTGACAAAGTTTTAGTTAAAGATACTCACTTTATATAACCGGTACAACTCATAAGCATATATAATAACAGAGAAACAATCAAGGAATAACGAATATCCATAATAAGGTGCACAGTCAAAGAGGAGGATAATAAGCATGTTTTTCCGGATAACAGGTCAAAATCTTATACAAATGTACCAATGTGGCATATAAAGGAGATATGCAACAAATAGTAAAGACTCAAAGTTTACATCAATTTGACACTCTCTAAGTGTCCAATAACCCGCTATCAAATTATATGCATTTTTAAAATGCATGAATACGCATATGTAAATGATATGATTAAGTGTCTGCATGAGTCTAGAATGTTTATGCATGATAAAAACTCAAACTTAGTACCAAACTGATGCAAATGGTCTAACACAAATTCATGTGTCCATTGCGCGCACAATGTCGGTGCAGAATTTCAGTATTCAGTGACTCTAGAGGGATGGATCCATATCCACACACAGTCGGTACATAAATCATATGCCCGAATAAATATCTCAAATACAGGAACGTGAATCCACACACCCAACAAATGTTTCCATAAAGAACGTGAATCCACACGCCTAAACAGAACCTCAATACAGGAACGTGAATCCACACGGCCAAATTGTCTCAAATGAATGATGAGAACTATGTATATA